TGATTTTTTCAATTAAAACAGTGTACCTTGGCCCAAAATAGGTTGAGAAACACTGGTCTACAATGCATCACACAGCAAATGTAAGAACTACATGTGAGACTGAAAGAATTACATTTAGCCTAATTTTTCCAACAGTAATTCAGTGTTCTTAGTTCTATTCTCATGTTATTATAATTGCATTTAATGTTTATGTGATACAGATGTAATATGGATTACTTACTACTCCATTATCATTTATAAGTCCATATATTGAATTTCTGGTTGCACTGTCTTGTTATATTGTGCTAGTCAAGGATGTAGTTCTCTCTTTTTTTTGTTAATCCATTAATTACTTGTACTCATGTCTACAGATCTGACAAGGGGGGTGAAAATGTGATGGTTGCTCAGTTTGTGGTCCAAACTAATGGAGTGAACAGAAATTCTCATATGACTGGAAGATGTGTGCATAACCAGAGGTATGAGGGATTGGGAGACTAAGAGTTGCTCTGTGATAATTAACATCAATATCCAATTTCTTCATATTTTTTAATATGTTGATACCATTTTATCTTAAATACACTGAACTTGTACTCAATCTAACATCATTTGTGAAGAGCTTCAAGTTTGTATATTATCTGTTGTACAATGTGTGCTAAAGAAGAAATGTATTTTATTCCGATACAGAATAGAGTGTCTTTGGAGAGATGTTTATGAGAACGTGCTCGATCTCTACTACACAATCTTCATGCAAATGGAAGCCGAGGGAATTCTAAATCCAGATGATGAGATTGAGTTGTATTCACTACACAGATGCTTCATGCCACATACTCAACATGGCCTTCACTGCTTCAAGGAGGCATGGAATAACCATGGACTACGAACTTCGAGCCACCATACACCTTTGCAGTTGTGGCTACTAAATGAGAAGGAAGGACGTGACTTTTCGGAGGTAAAACTTTTAACTTGAAGTACTCTCCCATTTTGTACTAGCTTATGTACACTCACCATATTCTTTGTGTTTAGGTTGGTGATGACTATGGTGTAGACTGGGAAGGTCCACATACTCCATCCACTTCTAACGTCAGTATTCCTGAGGTCCAACTTATGTGCCCATTAAACGCGGAAGACCTTGCGGCATTGCCAAACACCGATGTTCCTCTCACGCAGGCGCTGGGAGTATTGAAACTGTTCAGGCAATGAAAGCTTTGTTGCTCCCATAATCTTGAGTCAGTCTTAGTCTTTATACATTTTGCCATTGTAAATTTCATTGTAAAAGGTGCATCGATTGCAATTCTGGATGATCGACAATTGACAATCTTTAAGAAAAGAAAAATAATTATCTGCTGATTATGATCTTTGAAAAAAAAAATTGTATTCTGATTGTTGCTAAATATAGTGAGAAAGTGGCTCAGTTTGATGTATTAATAGAATATTAACTTTTAAAATGCAAACATTACCTGGTGGACCGTTTTCTCAGTTAAACATTTCACAACAGAGCTAAAGAGGAACAGTATTTGATTTTTACAACTTTGCTAAGTTAGATGACACCTGTAGATAACATGTATGTCACATGTAAGTTTCGGTCAATCCCAGTATCCCGAACTTAAGGAAGTCAGTTCCAGTTTATCGGTGCACACTGTTGAGAAAATAAATTTGAAATAAGCTAGTTTTAAAACTTAACATGTCTTAATTCAAATGGCCTAATTGTGGTTTTGAATTTAGTAATGTATTCTGACTTTTTGACCTTTATTTTACTTGTAATTACTGCAGATGGTTTGCTAGGATCGTTTGAACTGCCTTTTGTCTGTGTGGAAAACAATACTGGAGAAGTTGTAGCTTTTCACACTCATCTGTGAAAGGCCGTAAACACGGCCGGGGTTTCTGGCTTGAGAGATGGTCAGAGATAGCTCCTGGTTGGATGAGCAAAGATACGCCTTATTTGAATAAATTAAAGATAAGAATACTCCTTCAGTATAAAACTTTCTACACAGAAGTAACAAATCAGATTTGCTCTTGCAACTTCTTCCTTAACAACACCAACTCCAGTCATAAATTATAGTTAAAATTTGTGCAAATATAGTAGTCTTGTTTGGGGTATTTGCCAGAGGCGGTATTTATTTCCTCACCAAAAATAATTTTCCAAAAGGAATATGATATGACTTTTCATATGACAATGATATTGACTTTGCAACTACATGTACTGTATTTCACCTTGTAAAATTGTTGAAATAAAATAAAAATGACATTGCTTTTTTTGTTGACAGAAAATTTGTTTATGTACACAGCATTTTCTATATGGCATTAAAAATGGCATAATTAAGTGTACCGATTTTCTACAAAGTTTTGAAATATGACAAATTCATCCAAAACACAATGAATTTGTGCTTTTGTAACTGGGTGGTTTTAATTGGAAAATACTGGTTACATAAAGTGACTGTAAATTCCTACCCGTTTTGGACCCTTGAATACATCCAGGCCCTGTTTCCCCACCTTCACTTCCTTTTCACAACCTTATCGGGCTCATTAGCTCATTAGTAGGAGGATACGGTAGGGTACTGAGTACCCCTAAAAGATTTAGCGGGGGTCCGCAGTACCTGCAAGAGAGGGGAGCCGATGTCTGCTGTAAAAAAAATCAATGGGTTCACTTTGAGCCGTGAGTGCACCCACTAATCAGCTGATTAGTTTTTCAAGAACAATTTAAAACACGACTTAATCAGTTAATTTCATATTGTTTCTGAACTGTTTGTGTTTTACTAGAGCAACACGTCGATTGAGGAAGGTTTTGAGTCGATCTCGGCATCAGGTGACAAACTGAACACCGCCAGGACGCTGAGACCAGCACGTCCTCCTCTGACTCCTTATCAAAACGTTCATAACTTTATTAAAGAACAACAACAACAAAAAAGTCAACAAAAAATTTTCAGATTAATGACCCAACAACAATAATAATCTCAGTGATGTGCGTTTCGGTTCCATTATCAAAATAACCAGCAGAACAGGGGTTTAAAATTAACTAATCATCCACTGCTGTGTTCATGAGAGGATTAATGATCGTGAAATAAATATCAAGCCTGAAAACCTGATATCGTAACGGACTGAATGTTTTAAACGTAATCTGTGCTCGGCTAGAGGAGCGAGCGGTTGCCACGGCAACGGGTGTAGCCTATATATCCTACCATATGTTAGTCTCCTTTCCTTCTTAATTTATAACGCTGATAATTATCCCTGTCGTGTCTAAAAATGCATTGATAAAATACATAGTGAAGGTTTCATTGTTGTTCAATAATTACCGGGCGTTGTGGGAGAAAGTAAGAAAAGAACGAGGTTTATTTGCGTGACATCGCAGAAGCCGGGTTCAGTGGGTGTCTCGGATTCTATCAATCCTACATCGTGGCACTACGCATGCTCAGCCCGATAATAGAGCACGCGCTTTGTACACAACAGACAGCTATATTGACGCACAAAGTTTGGAAAAAGTGACGTGGCAGCACAGATCGTCACAACCGGTTGTCATTATGACGCATTAAATGTTGGTGACGTAGAATGTGACTAGTTTACAAAATACACTGGATTCATTTGCCAGGACCAAGCAAAGCAAGAAAGATTTTTATTAAGTAGGTAGGTAAAAAATGGAAGAATTACAGATTCTTAGAAGAAGGTGTTTAAATTATGAGCAGGAGAACGAAAAGCTGAGAAAAGCAAATTATAATCTGGAACTTGAGGCAGAAGGGAGAGAAAAGGAACTCCGAAGTGAAATAGAGAAGCTTTCAGATGAAACTGCGAAATCAAAACACAAAATATCAATATTAACAACACTGAATGATCATTTGATGGAATCCGAAGAAGAAAGTAGAAAGATCCAATGCTCTCTGACAGAAGAAAATCGTGTACTGAAAGCCGAAGTCACTAGACTGAAGTTGAAGACAACAGCATTGATAGATGAATGTACGATTTTAAGAAACGCACAAGAGAGTTCTGAGGAAAAGATTTTGTACTTGGAGGAGGAAAACAGAAAACTTAATGCTCAAATAAAACATAAAAATCGCATGATAGATGAAATGTCTGACCTCACAAAGTCTCTAAGAGATTCAAATAGGGAGACAAAACAACAAGAACAAATACTGCTGGAGAAAGTTGAAAAAACTATAAAAGTTGAAAACCAACAGAAACCTAAAATCTTTACATCTGAAAATTCTACTCAAACGGAAAATTTGAGCAGTCGTCGTAAGCAGCCAAAATGTTTTGCCAACAAATCTACACAGACTGAGCATTTCATTTCGGAATCAATGGAAAAATCGACTCAGACCGAATGTGCGACTTATAAACTAAAGGAGTTTCAGCCTCCATGTGAAACATCATCTCAAACACAAACTTTAAAAAGCAAATGTAGGCATTTAAAGACTTCTACCAGAGATGCGACTTCAGCTAAAACTTTGACGGATGAATCTAAGCAGCCTAAATCTTTTGCTGAGAAATCAACAGAATTGGAAACTTCTGCTAATTCTAAGAGTTGGTCGGGTATGTGTGTGGATGGATTAATGTTTGCAGGTAAATACACCCTGCTAGGTGTTTTACAAGCAGCAGCAACAACAAAGGTTTATGAAATTGCTGCAAACTGCTATTGTACAGAATCAGAAATTCCTTTCTGAGAAATTGTTCATAAAATACTAATGCACCGTCATATAATATGAATATAATATAAATAGATCTCAGTGTGGCATGGCAGCGCTCTAGTGGGGAAGCTGGTGTGTGAGACTGAAAGGTTTTAGCTAGAAGTAGTTGGACTCACCTCGACGCACTTCTCTGGCTCTGGCAACACTCGTTTTGAGAGGGATTGAACACTCTTTCTCACTGGAGTTGCCATTGCTGAGAGGCACAGTGCAGGAGTGGGCATACTTGTTGCTACCCCATCTGGTAAATGCACTTTGGAGTTCAAACGTTGAACAACACGGCAGGGTCCCTCCTCCTACTTGAGGGAGGATGAGTTTGGCTGTTTGTGCAAACAGTAGTTCAGATTACTCAATTGTTTAGGAGTCCTTGGAGAGAAACTTCCATGTTGTACTGGGGAACTTCAACATTCAGTGAGACCTAGATGGATATTGTTGACTTCGAGGTGATTCTGGTCCACAATCTGGTGTCTTGGCCAGATGGTTCACCATCCTCCACTCGGGGCATTGTGTGTCATTGGACAGAATTCTATGAAGAACTCTTCAATTCCAGCAGCACGTCTTAAACTGAGGAAGCTGAGAGTGAGGACCTTGGGTCACGCTTTCTAATCCCTGGTGCAGATGTCACTGAGGTGGCCCTGTGGATGGATGAGATTTTCCTGGAGTTCCTGAAAGTTCTTGATGTTGTGGGGTTGTGTTAGTTGATACAACTTTGCAATATTGTGTGAACAACCGGGACAGTTCCCCTGAATTGACAAACCAGGGTGCTGGTCCCCCTATTCAAAAAGGGGGACCATAAAGTGTGTTCCAACTACTGGGGGATCACACTCTGAAGCCTCCCTGGTAAGGTCTTTTCAAGGTTTCTGGAAAGGAGGATCCATCAGATAGTCAGACTTGGATTCTGGAAGAGCCGTGCTATTTTTGTCCCAGTCATGGAACACTGGACCAGCTTTACACTCTCAGCAGGGTTCTAGAGGGTGCATGGGAGTTCTCACTCAAACAGTCTACGTTTGGGTGAGAATCAGTTTGACATTGTCCCTTTGTGAATCCTCTGGGGGCTATTCTGGGAAGGTAGGGTACTAGGCCCTTTAAAATGGGCTTTTAGATTCCTATATAACCAGTGATAAAGCTTGGTCTGCATTACCAGCAGTAAGTCGGGCTCATTTCCAGTGAGAGTTGGACTCTGCCTAGGTTGCCCTTTGTTACAGATTCTGTTCTAGGTGCAGCCAAGGTATTGAGGGAATCTGATTTGGTGGCCTTAGGCTCATGTCTCTGCTTTTTGCAGATGATGTGGTCCTACTGGCATCATTAAGTCATGATCTACAACTCTCACTGGAGGAGTTTGCAGCTGAGTGTGAAGTGACTGGGATGAGGATCAGAGCCTCCAAATCCAGGACCATACAGGGCGTTGCCTTGTCGGTTCAGTCTTACACACACACTTCCTCTAGCAAGATGCAGTGCCATGTCTGAGAAACTGATAGTGATTAATAACGCTTTGCATCACTCGCTTATGCATCAACATAACCGTCAGCCATCAGAGAGCTTATTACACAACCTCAAAGAAATGAGAAGCAGAATCTTACCGATGGGGAAAAAGTACTTGACACACTCTAAAAACTGTATTTGGGCTGCAGTTCATCTTATGGACTTATTTACATTAATTTCACTTAATTCTTTTGCTTTCGCTATGACAACTTACTTTTTTGTGTTCATTTAACTCAAAACTTACAAATCTTTAACCTAAAGGAACTTTTCACTTTGACTTTACTTAAAACAATTGAGTTCAATGCCAGTTTCATATCCTATGTCTGACCAACTCAATTTATTAAGATCATCCAACTCAATTCATTAAGTCTTTCCAACTCAATTTGGTAAGTTTTTATAACTTAATTAATAAGGGGGTTTAACAACAAATTTAAGTCACTTTTACTCAAATCATTTATTTTCTTATAATAAACATTTAAAATCTCTTTGACTTAATTCTACAGAAAGCCAACTCAAACTTTTAAGTAGTTCCAAACTAAATTTTAATACTCTTTTTAGTGTCCTCTAAATACACAAATATTTTCCTTAAATTACCATACTTTGACTTTACTTGAAATTATTAAGTTTAATACCATATTTGTATCCCTAGTCTGACACCATGACTCAAGCTTACCAGGGACAGATTCCCCAGTAAGCGACCGTGGCTCTGTGGATAGAGTATTTGTCTTGTGATCAGACGGCTGTATTGTGTGGTCAGAGGCACAAATCAGGGAAACAAAATAAATTTGTAACATCAAAGCAAGACCACCGACCCCTTATCTGTCATAAGACGTTTGTTACACAACAACACACAGGATTAAAGAAAAGAAGCAGTTGAATTCCTACTGTTGGGCATAAATTTACTTTCACAGTGCAGCAAATCCACTGGCTGAGATTTAGGAAATGGAATGGCCTAGTCAAAACTCAGAACTTGATCTAAATAAAATGTCGTGGGGTTACTTGAAATACCCTCCTGACTACCAGGAAAAAAAAATATTGTCCAATCACCATTTTTTTAAAATTCCACAATCTTTGTAAGGTAATTAGTATACTGAAAACATTTTTTTTTTTGGAAAAAAAGTTTTTATTTTTGAAATATCATGTGTCCACTACAGTGGACATCGGAACCCCATACATTTGAAATTGAACCTTGATGGCAACCAGTTTGTCCCAAAGAAATATCCAAACATAAGAATGAATTTCACATTGACAAAACTGAGCACTGTTGCCAGCAAGAAGGCCAAGAACCCGGAACCTGGCCCAGGGTCTTTCTGCATAGAGTTTGCATGTTCTCCCTGTGTATGGTGGGTTCTCTCCGGGTTGGATGGATGGATGGATGGATGGGTTGGTGGGAGGATGAATGGCTGGGTGGGTGGATGGATGGATGGATGGATGGATGGATGGGTGGGTAAATGAATGAGTGGATGGATGGATGGATTGATAGATGGATGAACGGGTGGATGGATACAGAAAAATAATTACAAATGTCCACTACAGAGGACAATTTTTCAACTTTTAAATACTACGATAAAGTACAGTCAAAATAATTCATAGAATGTTTTAATATGCTGCCAACAGACTTATTTAGAATATGCCAACAAAATTTTAAACCAAAATTTGCACAGTAAAAAGTTTTATGCACTTACTTGGTCTCTCCCCATAAAATGTGCTTGTACCGATGAACGTCATTTTTATAAATGAGAAAAAGGTACGTACAAAAGCCCCACTTCAGACTCACTGAAGTTATTTCTGATAAAGTAATACCATGTCTTTGCTAACTTTTTCCTCAGCAGAAAGACACTTACACTTTTTAACAAAATAAATAAAAAAGATTAGGCAAGTAAAATGTGCTTATGTCCAAATCTGAAGCATTTCAACTAAGTGACACCGACAGTAAGTTTTCTACCAAACCTTAGTTGGCTTCCTTTCTCACCTGTCAACTGTTGAACATGCTTAAATAACACTAGGTCTATGTATGCAATTATAACTAATTTTCATATGTCCTTAAAGAGTACCTAAAAGCTGAACAACTTATTTCTCCTGACAATTTCTTGAAATCACTTCTTGTTCGTCCAACATTTTAATATCCTTCATTACTGACTTGTCATCAGCTGATGGATACAGAACATGTCCTGAATAATCCACTACATTAGATGCTGTTTTGTTTATAAAATCATGCCTTTATGATTTTTAAATACATCTCATTAAACAAAATCATACCTGAATACCGCATTAAAAGATCACTTTGACAAGTACTGAAATTTTATTTAACTTATTTCTTTTTAATAAAGACATTGACAGACAAACTGAACCGCATTCAATTGACCAAGGATAAGAAATTGTTCCACCAGTACACACTTTGTGTATTCTTTGGATTAAGAAATAAGTCAGAGCTGCACATATTAATAAAAAAAGAAAAGTAGAAGATCCAAAAAGATGTCTTGGTTATGTTAGATACTACAGAATCACTGGGACTGCTTAACGTAGTGTTGTAGCCATTTAACTGCTCAACATAAGCACAAGTGTTATTACTCCACTTGAAGTAAAAATAGTAAAACTATTAAATTAACTACAATTTCTCTTATTACCTAAAAAATACACTAGATGTGCAGGAACATAAGTGAAAAAGAAACACACTCAATGACATGCAAGTGGAAGTAATTACAGCTCTAGTAAACCCTTTTAGAAAGTACAAAGGCACAAACAAATTAACTATTTAAAAAAAAGAATCAACAAGATAAAACACTGCCCATTTGGAAACATGAAAGCACAAGAACAAATTGTAAGGTGTCTCTTTGTGACTTATGAGCAAACTATATATATATGACTAATATCAGTCACTACTGAAGTCGTCGTCGAAGGTAACGCTCTCTGCTCCTGACAAAGTCTGTAGATCGGGGTGTCCAAAGTCAGTCCTAGTGGCCTGGCATCCTGCATGTCTTACCACCAGGGAGAGATCCCTGGTGGTAGAAACAACCTTTTCAGCTTGTCAATGTTCTTCTTAGGCCTCTAAAGAGTCATCATTTGATGCAGGTGTGTTAAACCAGGGAGAGAACTAAAACATGCAGGATGCCGGGCCTCCAGGACCCACTTTGGGCTCCCCAGCTGTAGATAATGCACCAACAGCTTCATCTGTTGGTGCTGCAGCTCTCTGAGGATGATGCTCTGGAGACCTCTTGGACTTCATCAGTTAGGTCACAGGACAAACCTTTAAAGTTGAACATAAATAAAAATCCCAAATTTAGATGCTTTTACTTTTGGTATGATTATGCGTTACTTAAAAACCTACTTTTAAATTTACCTCCCGATAACAGGTGGGAAACTCCTTTAGAGTGTCTTCATAGGATGACAGAGATTTCCAATGATGGTCCATCAACAAAGATCCTCTTTTCCTCTTCCAGTCTCTTTACCATCATGATGTCATCGATTGCCCTTATTCTTGTGTGAAGACTGACAGAAATGCATTTATGAAAAGGACAAATCAACTCATTAAAAGTTTAAA